ACGGGAAGGTCTTGGCTGCGAGCGGCGGGCCGAGCGCCTTGGGCGGCCAGTTCCCGTACGAGTAGCCGGGGTACACCTCCTCGTAGGGCGGCACCAGCCCCCCGAGCGGCGCCGCGAAGCCGCCCTTGCACAGCTCCGCCTGCTGGCTGCGCTCGCGCTTTCGCCACTTGGCGCGCCGGTTCTTGAACCACACCTGCGGGCATGGGAGAAAGGCCGTCAGGGCCCGGAGCCGAGCGGGGGACCCGGACCGGGGCAGCGCGGCCGGTGGGTGGGTCGCCCAGACGGGGCTTCAAGCCGGCGCCGTCCTGAGGATCAACCAGATGTGGTGGCTGGAGACGGGAATGAGCGTCGTGGAGAAGCCCGAGGAGTGCACGGAGTCAGGGAGCTGAGAACAGAAGCAGTGGGCGGCAGGGCTGAGTCCGGGGCGACGCGGTCTGGGGAGGGGACTAGCAGGATGGGGTCAAGGAAGGGTGAAGAGGAGAACAAGAGACAGCGTCAGGGTAGAAGAAACGCACGGCCTGGAGTGAGAGCGTGGAGCAAGAGCAGCGCTCGGAGGTTGGTGGAAAGAAGGGCGTGTGCGGCAGTGGACCGGGGCCCGGGGCGTGGGGTGTTGGGTCCGGGGATGGGGCAGGCAGAGCAGAACCACAGGCCGCTGGTTCCGGAGCTAGTCGCTGGGCGGCGCGCGAGAGGGAGGCTCGGGGAGGGGGAGGGTTGCAGGTCTGGGACGGCTGTACCCGCACGCGGGCCTCGGTGAGGTTGGTCCACACGGCGATCTCTTCGCGCGTACTCATGTCTGGGTAGCGGTTCCTCTGGAAGGTCGCCTCCAGCTCCTGCAGCTGCTGGCTGGTGAAGTGCGTGCGTTGCCGCCGCTGTTTCTTCTTCAGCGAGCCGTCTTCCGGGGAGCCGCCGGGCAGCGAAGCCGAAGCCTTCTCCGAGTCTGGGGGCCGGGTGCGGGCCAGGTCACAGGGCGCCCAGGCCTGCGCGGATTCTCTGGCTGGGGGACCTCCTCCACCGCCCGCTCGCTCGCACCCGGGCTTCCGCTCCCGGGTCCCACCCTGAGCAAGGATTGAGCTGTTATCTCCCCACGCCCAGAAGGGGGCGCGCTCACCGCTGTGCTCTTGGCCCTTGCAGCCGTGTTCTGGGAGGGCGGGGTGGGGAGTGCCGGCATCCGACAGCGAGAGGGCCGGGCTGCGGGCCTCCGCCTCGCTGAGCAGGCCAAACTCCATGGAGGGAGGACTCTGGAGGGAAGAGAAGACACAACAGGTTAATGGGACTAAAATCTCTGGCTTATCCAGTTCCCAAGAGTGTTTCCCCACAAGTTCACTGTGCCCTTTCTCAGCCACGGACGTAAAGCTACCTGTGTGCGGGGTGCCCTGGGATAGAAGGGGGCAACAGCAGCCCAAGGGCAAAAAGGTGTACACTCAGAGGTCTTATGTACGGGTATACATGCTAGACTTAGTTCTCTTCACTGCTGGGCGCCTAGAACTGTGCTTGATGCGCAGTTGGTGGTGATAGTGATTGAATTAATGAAGACTACTACTATCGCACATCTTCAAAACTTTAATTCCCTCTCACATGAATGCCCAATATCCCCATAAACTCATACATGCCCCTTGGCCAATCACACCTGAGATGCAGCCGGAACCTCTGTTATTCACTGTCCAGTGGGACAGATTTAATTTTAGACCAGGCCTGATATTTCTCCCACAAGGATAGTCACTGCTCTCATTTGTGAGTACTCCCTTGTACATTCACTTCATCATCTCTCCCTTCACAAGAATACGTTAGTCTTAAGCATTATCACCCTTTTTCAGGTGAGGAAACTGTGTCTGGAAGTAACAATTAAGGTCACAGAGCTTGTAAGTAGTGGAACTGGGATCTGAAGCATGTCTGGGAGACTCCTAAGCTAGTGCTTTTTCTTTTTCTTTTTCTTTTTTTGTTTTTTTGAGGAAGATTAGCCCTGAGCTAACATCTGCTGCCAATCCTCCTCTTTTTGCTGAGGAAGACTGGCCCTGAGCTAACATCCGTGCCCATCTTCCTCTACTTTATATGTGGCATGCCCACCACAGCATGGCTTTCCAATCGGTGCTGTGTCCGCACCTGGGATCTGAAGCAGTGAAGCCCGGGCCGCCGAATTGGAACCTGTGCACTTAACCGCTGTGCCACCAGGTCAGCCCCCTAACGCTTTTTCTTTCCTTGCTTTTTCAAGTTGTGTCCTTTGGGGCCCTATCGGAAACCCCCTCAAGGACTGGGACTCGGGGCTAGCCTCAGGGATAGAACTCTAGCCTGGCCTTGCTGGGTCTGCTTCAACTCAGGCAGCCCTGCCTTTGTCTGTCCTGTTTATGCCTTCTGGAGAGATTTCATTTGAAGAAAGCCTTCCAGGATCAAAAAAAGTTTGAAAATCACTAGGGGTTCCCATCCTGTCTGCTTCTATGTCTCCAGACACACATCGCATCACACTAGTCACTGTTCCGCTCTCATGCATGGCCTTTACTAGGCCCACCCCAGGCAGTAGACATGTGCTTCTTAATACCACCTTCCTACCCTATCCCAAACCTTCCTATCCCAAACCTCACCTGACGTTGCCCAGGCACCTGCCTGGGTCCCTCTCCAAGTCTTCCCTGCAGAGTCCTCTTTCCCGCTGACTCTCCCAGGCCTCTTTGCTGGGAGGAAGGGAAAGGGGCACCAGTGGGTCTCAAGAACTCCGGATGCCTCTTGGTCAGAGGAGAACCAAAGCAGGCTAGGGAAAAAGAACAGGGGTGAAGAGCTGGGTGGGAGGGGTTCATGTGCCTCCCCATTAACAGGGACTTAATGCAGGCTGTGCAAGGTGGCATTAATGTGGTGGATTAGCCTTGATTGAGATGTATGTCACTTGGCTGCTCTGAATTTATTAGGAGCCTTTCTCAGGGAGGCACAGATGGGCAGTGGCCTGTATTTGCACATGGTAATGCCCCCTCAACCAGCTCAGAGGTGACAGCTGCCCTCCGCCCCCTAAGTGAGATTGGGGGTGGGACAGAGGTCAAGGCAGGAGGTTGAGAAACAGTCCCTGTTCTTTCCACAGGCAGAGGGGCCTAGACCTTGGACCTTTTCCTAGGGTTCGAGAGGCAGAGCTGAAGGGAACCCTGGAAGGAAGGAAAGAAGTCAGGCCAGCTGTGGGGGTGCTCAGCTTACCTCCCCTTCCAGGTTGAGGTCAGGAGCTAGGGGCTTGGGGCTGGCCCAGTGATGCTCTGATAGAAGAGAGGTGCCCTTGGGAGAGACCTGTGGCAGCCTTGACTAATAGCTCTTCCAAAATAGCTGGGCAGACTTAGAACTGACAGCTAGAAAAAGGGGTGCTCTGAAGTCTCCTCTCACTTTATATCCAAGATGCGCTCAAAATGCAAAGAATGCCCCTGAGTTCTCCAGAGGCCACGAGAGCAACACAGAGCAGGGAAAAGAGGGACACTTGGCTTCGCCTGTAGGGAAAGCTAAATCCACCACTGCCATTCATCCTTCCAGTCTGCTTTGACTCTAGACTTCCAATTTTCCAAACTCCCTTTCCCCCAGCATTCCATACCTGTGTGTCCTGGTTTCACCCTTTATTTCAGCAGAGGGAGGCAGGGTGAGGAGAGATAAGGGCCAGGGTAAAAAATGAGGCAGAGAAAGCAGAGTTCAGGCTGTGTGTTCCCAGAGACAGACAGACACACATGGGCCCCCACTCAGACAAAATAAGCACTTGGACTTGGAGTTAGAGGCGTACAAACACACACTCTCCCACACATGCGCTCCCACATTCAGGCAGACAGACATACACCGTCACACAGTCTCCTCTCTCTGTGACAGGGACAGCTGCCTTGGCTGTTTTGGAGCTAGCCACTACCCTTCCCCCTCCCCTTCCTGGCCCCTCTGAACCTCAGCTTTCAGTCCCAGAAACTAAGGACTCTGTTGGGGAGGAGGAGGCTAAGGGGCCAGGGGAGTGGTCTACATTCAGTGGCTGCTGAGGAGAGCCTGTTTGACTGAGTGGGGAGAAGGCATGAAAATGCTGGAGGAAGAGGATGGGGTGGGAGTGGGGCCAGAAACTGCTCAGGCCCCTCTTAGGGAAGTAATCTGGTATAGCCCAAAGAAATTCAGTTTGGAGTTAAAAGATCTGGGTTCGTGTCCTGGCTCCCCAGCTTACTAGCTGTGCATACTTGGCAAATTACTTTACCTCTCTGGGCATATTTTTTCATCTCTAAAAGGGAGATCATAATCTCTTGCTTAACTACCTTCAGTATTGTTATGAGGTTAAAATAAAACATAACATGTAAAAATGGATAAGGATAAAACTCTATCCAAGTATTTTTTTTTTTTCCTCAATCATTGAACAGATGTTTATTTGGCACCTTCTGTGAGCTAGGCATTGAGTAAGGCACGGAGGATAGAGTGGTAAATAAGACCTCATCCTTGTCTCTGCCCTTGCTTAAGTGGCTCACTTCCCTAGACCCTTTATTTCCCAGTGAAGAATTCTCTGGTGAATAAAGATGAGTATGCTGCATTTTAGAGAGGGATGCAATGTGTGTTGTGAGCACTCTGTGCCAAACATAAAGGAAGTCCCAGGCAATAAGGTGAGAGCCAAATGAGCAGAGTGATCCAAGCTGGGAGCCAGTTTGGGGACCAAGGATTGGTAAAGGGAAGAATAAAGTCTTCAGGCTCTTGACCGGGTTAGTAATAGCAGAGAGAGGGGATGAAGCTGAGACCGTGAAACTGAAAAGGCAAGAACACTATAGCCAGGCAGGCAATAGAGATAGAGGGTGGGGGCATAGGCCTCTGGCAGACTCATGTCTGGGTGGGCTGGTCAGGCAGAGGCTGGGGGTGCCAAGCTGTTGTCTGAGCTGGAGACCGGCTGGCTGAAGATTAAGCTCCCCTCAAGTTGCTGGGGGTCAGGAAGCTGGGGAGTTGGGACTGAGGCCAGGGACTTCGCCTCCCTCAGTGGACAGGTTTGGAAGCAGGAGGTCTGGAAGCCTCAGGTTTGGTGAATGCTGGTAGGAAATACCAGACAGGGCCAAAGAGAATCAAGAGATAACAATAGTGCTGAGTCCAACTCTGGGATGGGCTGTCTGCCCCACTTCTGGCCTTTCTGACACACCCTTAAGGGCCCAGGCACTACTGGTGTGAGGGTGGCAATCCCACCCCTAGGGAGAATACAGGGCCTACAGGCATTCTCTGATTCTGAAGTACAGGCTGGAATTACAGGAAGCTGTCATGGATGGCAGCAAGAACAAAACAACCAAGATACACTAAGGTGGAGAGCAGAGACTGTCACAGGCCAGAGAGGCCATAGTGGGGAGGCCATGGTTTCCAAGGGACAAAAGCTCATGGCAAGAAGGCAGCTGCCTTGTGTCTTGAAGCCAAAGGGTAAACCATGGCCACAGCCAGAGAGCCCCCAAGTAGTTGCAATAATAATGCCCAAGGCAGGAGGCAAACCCTGGAACTGAAATGGGAGAAAATTTTCCCTTGCAGGGACTGAATGAAGAGGAAGATAAGAGGGGATGGAGTTGTGATGCTGTGGCTCAGCTCGGCAAGCAGCAAGTTGGCGAATAGGTATAAACCAGGGCCCTAAACTAGTATGGAACTATCCCATAAACCTGAAACTGAAGTGAGGCCCATAGGCGCACACAGCATCATGTTCATTAGGGATGCTGAGCACCCAAACTGTCTGGTCTCCTTAACTGCAGTGAGCAAATGGGAGCAAATGAAGACAGCTATAGACAAGGTTCACAGTCCCAAGAGGAAACCCTAAGACTCAGATGGAGGCAGCAATGATTCCATGCACTGAATTTATCAAGGGGTAAATCAGGGATCAGAGAAGTCGGCCCCCACACCCTTCCCTCCCTTCCTTCCTACTTTCCTTCAGCAAGTGTTAGGTGCTTAAACAGATCCCCAAGAATGGTAAGACACAGACCCTAACTTCTAGGAGCCTACAGTCTGGGAAGGCAAACAGAGCACAGGATGGAACGAACGCTGGGCTGCACGGGCCTGATTCTCAGATTGGGGAGATCAGAGAAATGGAAGCCCATGTAAGATGGTATCAAGTTTGGGGGCTGGGAGAATGTAGCACATGGCTGAGCTGGGGACTGGGAAGGCAGAGAAGGGGCAGAGGCTTCTAAGTAATAGAGTAGTATTGGGAATGAGCTGGCAGTTTCAGAGGGCAACAGGGAGCCTAGCTTGTCCGGGGTCCCAGTGTAGGCAATGGGAAATCGTCAGAGAAAAATGCATCAGGCTGAGGGTGCCTCCAATGAGGGGCAAGGGTGGTATTTCAGGTTTGATACAGCCTAGGCTACAGCATCTCCAGCTTTTCCATCAAAACACCCCTAAGCCTAGTAAGAGAATATCACCCTGGGAAACTAGGCGCACAACCTGAAACAGCTGCTACCAGTATGAAATTTCTTTGTGATCTCCAGCCTTCTGCTAAAAATTGAAGCTAATTTTACATTCTACTCTATACTTAAATTGTGTCTGTTTTAATATAAAAATAAAGTTTTCTCTCCAAATCTCCAAGTGACATCTTCAAGTGACATCGCCACGCCAGGAAGATAGGCCATGTTCAGCATCATGGGAGCCTCTCCCACTCCTATAACTCCCTCTCCCACCCCACCTCCCCACTGAGGGACATTGCTCCAAGCAGTAGGAGTCACTGGAGTCTTGTAAGCAGGGGAGTGACATAAAAGCAGCATCTTTGGGACCTTTTTTTGGCAATGGTGAGCAGAATGCATTGGGCAGGGGAGAGATAGGAAAGGGAAAATAATACTGAGAGGTGTAAAGTAAAGAAGGGCCCAAGGGGAGGCAATGGAAAAGGAGTGCAGAGAGTTTTGAAAGCTGCTCTTTTTCACTCCACAGCCTATCTTCTTTTCCTTTCTCTCCCCATCACTGTTAGCATGGATCCCTGTTGATGACCATGGGCTAGACACTTTAGATAATCCCAAAGCTCAGGACCTAATGGACCCTTCAGGTTAGCTGTCATCTCCCTCCCTCACACTCTAGGAAACATCATTTAGAGTAAATGGAGAAGAAAAGATTTGTGTGGCTCCATCCTTCTTTCATGCCCACCCCCAACTCAACTCCAGCCTGTCTCCCCTGCCCTCCCTTCTTGGACCTGGGTTCTGGGCTCATAGTCACATCCTTGAGCAGAAGACTGTCAGGGATCAGATCAGGATATCTGGCCTGGTAGAGAAGCTAAGCATTTTGGGAGCTCCCTGGAACTCTTAGAGAGAGGCTTGGGTAGTAGCTGGCTTCTGAAGCCTGGGATAGGGTGTTCCGTCTGTCCTTGAGAATCTCCCTGTGTCTGGATCAGGGATGCTCTTAGGCTGATCTAAGACTTGAGACTCCACCTTTCCAAACAAAGATTCTGTGGTTACAAGGAACTTAAGTTTGGCCATAATAATAGCGATAATGCTTCTTATTTCTGTAGTAATTCTCCATTTATGAAGGGCTTTCATATACATGATTTCATTTAACTCTTACAACCATCTTGAGTGGCAGGAATGACCATCCCTATTTCACCTCTAATAAGACAAATTTGTCCAAGGTTACACAGATTGAAGAGATTCGAATCCGGTTCTCCTAAGACCAGGGACTGAGCTCTTCCATTCCTCGCCCCCTCCACCCCAGCAGCCATTTGTGGCTCTGACATGCACTGATCCTCCCAAGCCCTGAAGGATTCCATTTCTATTTCCTGCCTCTACCACTCTCTGGAAATGAGCTCTGGAAGTTTGCTGCCCACTGTGTGCCAAGGAACATTTTCCTATTCATCCTGAGCTTGCATCACTCCAGTTCTAAGAGGCCCCCTCATCTCTGGTTTTAGGATTTGGGGAGCAAACGTCTTCTGCTTATCTAGACCTTTAATTATTTTGTGGTTTTCCATCCTATCTCACTGTCCAGCGGCCTAAACTTTGAAGTCTGCGATCTCCAGCAGACCCTGGCACCCTGTTATGCCGACCAGTCTCTGACCCTTTCTAGGCCCATGACATTCTCCCTAAGAGCCAGTAACTAGACAAGCACTCAGCTAGGTGGTTTTATGCAAGGATGGGAGAAGGTTCTGTCTTTTGTTTCCAGTCTTCTTCATTATAATGCTATTCTCTTTGGCCTTTTTGGCAAAAGCAGATCTTGGGTTAAAGTCTCCAGGGAACCATCTGTAATGCCTTCCCTGTTCCTTTCCTGGCTCAGAGCCTTTCATTTCACCCATAAATTCAGTGATTTTCAAAGGTGATGGCAGCACAAACCCCTGAAAAGGGTATCAGAATGTAGTGGGAGTATTGGGGTGTGACTCTCTATTTATCAAAAGGGGGCAAGTGACAAAAACGGTTGAGAAACAATGTCCTAGCCAGGGATAAGCAAACTTTAAAATTGTGGAATGGAGGTGGGAGTATGGGGGTTGTATTGTATGCCACTCATGGGTGGGAAGTGAGAAAGGGTGAGCCTCACTTGTTTAGATTACTCATCGTTAAACACATCACCTTGCACTTGTCTCCACGAAAACTCAGCCCCCAGCTGGGTTGTTTTGCTCACTTACATAGACTGGGAAAGTTCTCTCCGCTCTGTTCCCTTCAGCTTAACAAGGCTCTGGTTAAAGAGCTGGGGTCAGGCTGGGTAGTCACTGTATGGGTCCAAAAGAATCAGGGCCCTTCCCCAGCTACAGGGAAAGCAAACGGGGCAGTTGATAGGGCTGAGACCTCCTTCCCAACCAGACTTGGAGGGCCATATAGGCCCCATGTTGACCTCAGAGTTTGGATTCCATGTGTCTCCTTCCTAACTCTTCTCAGCCACCAAGCTGGTGTTGGGATTGGTGGAGCTGAGGAAGCAAAAAGGGAAACAAGACCACAGGGTTTGCTTTCCTAAACGGCTGCAATTTTCTCTTCCAGCCTGGGCTCTTGCTCCTGCCCCTGCAGGGAAGGATTCTCTAGTCTGCTGATACTCAGGCAATGAGTCTGGGGGTGTCTGGTCAGCTGTAACGGTATTAGGGGCTGACTCCGAGTTTGTGAAGGAACTGAGGCTGTCAGGGGCTTGTGCTGGGCTCCTCCTTCCCCTCCCATTGCCCTTTGTGGTTCATTCCTTCCTTCCCTGGTCTTGATTCCCACTGGCATTCCCACCACTGGCTTTCTCTCTTCAAATTTGGGTTCTGGAAGTCTAGGGGTGATGCTTGGATCTAGTCTGGGTTGGAGAGGGCATGTCTCCCAGCGTCACTCCACCCTAAGGCCAGGCTGCAGCCTTTACTCTCACTCCCTGCTCCCGGCCGCAGTCCCTAGGAACAGAAACAAGTTTGCAAAGTGTGAGCTGGGATTCTAAGCAAACCACCACAGAAACCCCACTGCATATGCAGCAGCTGGGCAGGCGCTGCCCGGTAGATGAATACGCCACTCGGCCAGGGACATTCTGTCCGCCGCTGCCGGACACACGCAGCGCCTGCTCCGAAGAGACCCACCTCGCCGCCCCGGACATTCTGTCCGCTCCGAGCCCCGCGCTCTGCCGACATTCCGTCCGATTCGGTGGCGGCCCCAGGCCGGGACCCATCTGGGCCCTGACATTCCAAGCTGGACACGGCAGACTCGTCGCCTGGTCATTCGGGCTGCCCAGCCTCGGCCCTGCCAACCGCACAGCGGCCATCTGACTCGGTTGCGGCTGGGCTCTCACAACACAGCTCCCATCCCAACTGCGAAGCAGCTGGGAAGAGAAGCGTGTGCCACCAGACGCACCCCTGCTCCCAGGCCCTGGAGTCTGAGCCCCTGCCGAGGGGCGTCGGGTGCTGCCAACTGTCCCTATGCTGGGCAGCCGCCACCAGCTCCCCCAGCTGGCCAGGGCCTCAGCAACCTCTTTCACTCCCTGGCTGCCTGCCTCGCGCCTTCAGGTTCCAGGGCGCTTTCTGGTAATGGTTTCCCGACTCTCTACTCCCTGCTTCGCGGAGCTCCTATCCTGGCTTCATGTCTTCGGCTTCCCTCCGGATCCCCTGAGTCTCCTGTCCCCGAGTCCTGACGCTCAGTTTCCGTTTTCCAAAGTCCTGGCCCCGGGTCTGCAGTCCACCCTCCTAGTCTCGACCCGTTCCCCAGGCACCGTTCCCCGGTTCAGGCGACCCACGTCCTGTTTTAGGGATCCCGAAGTCCAGCCATGGCCCCTCGGCCCTGTGAGCCCCTGTCCCCCGCGTGGTCAAGCACTCACAGTGAGTCCCGCAGCAGGCAGGCTCCCGGCAGCGGCGGCGGCGGCCGCAGTCTGGAGGGCAGGCAGGGGCCAGGGGCCGGGCACCCGGCCGGGGTGGGGGCCGCCCCCCTGTGCCCGGGCCGCCGCTCCGCTCCAACGCTCCTAGACACGCTGAGGGAGGGAGTGAGCCTCGCCGTGGACTGCCACCCAACTCCAGAGCCCATTCACTTTATGGCAACCCAGGGCGCCCCCAACCCGCAGCGGCGAGCCTCTCGCGTCGAGCCCCGCCCCCTTCCAGCTGCGGAGCCCGTGCTCCACCCTTTCCAGCTGTGAATCTTTAGGCCCCGCCTTCGGGGGAGGGGTCCAGCCGGCGCACTGCCTGGAACCCCGCCCCCTGGCCAATCGGAGGCACTCCTCGTCAACTGGGCCACGCCCATCCCCACGTGGCTGAAACTGCGCTCGAGCAGGAAAGCTTTGGCAGAGCGAAGCGGGCGAGCGTGGAGTGCGCCGGGTAGCCCCACGGAGCCGGGGCCCGCCGGCGGCAAGGTGGGGCCGGGCTGCCACCCCGAACGAAGTGGAGCGGTGCCGTGGATAGGGATGCCGGGGTGCCAGGTGGGAGGGCGCATGGGCCAGGAGAGGCCGCCGAGTTTCAGCTCTCAGACTCGGTCGCTGCTCAAGTTTCGGCGATTTTCTCCACTTGTCGCTGTCTGTCTCCGCCCTTTTGTCTCTGCTCCAATCCTCCCACGTCTCGCCTTTCTTTCCTCTTTTTTCTCCTCCACTGCTTTGCTCCTGCTGTTTGTCCCTCTCCTCCCTCCTCTGCCTCTTTGAAAGACTAAATTTTCTTTCTCTCTCCTCCTTTTTCCTCACATCTTTCTCTCTTCCTCTTCTCAGCTATCTCCGGCCTCCTCCCTCCTTTTTTCCTCTCCTCCAAGAAAGGTGGCTTCGTGGAGAGAGCAGAGTTTGTAATGAGACAAACCAAAGCAGCATTCTAATCCTGCCACCAACCGCACCATCACTGAGTGACCTTGGACAAGTAACTATCATTCCCCTACCTCCGCCTACCCCCCAAATTAAAGGAGACTCTTGCTAGATCTCAGGGCTTAGGCTGGGCGCTCCTCAGAGGCCTGGGCAGTTCGCCTGTCAGTCTGCACTCTTGGCTTGCCCAGGCTGTACTCTCCCAGTCTTAACAGGGCTAGCTTCTCTTTGGTGACACCAGGTTCAGTTCTGTGGGCAAGGTGTGGCCTTGGTGCTTGCTAGTTGGGAAGTTGCAAGGGATAGGACAGACATCCCCCAGGGACATATGGACTTGGGCTGGGTTGCTTGGTGCCCCTGAGGACCCTAAGCCCTATCACACGATATGTTCCTAAGGTAAATCTGACCAGTCATGTCTCCGCTTAAAACCCTTCAATGACTCCTGATTGCCTTCAGGATAAAAGCCAAGCACCCTTGCCTGGCATACAAGACTTCCAGGACCTGACCCTGTCTTAATCTCCAATTTCCTAGTGGTTTCCTGCACACCTCTGGCCTTTCTTCTGACAGTAATATATTTCCAATCAGTCTTCATCTTGCCAATTCCTACTCACCCTTCTAAGCTCCTCTCAGGCCTCATTTTCTCTGGAAAGCCTTTCCTGAACTCCCAGGTTAGCCAGATATCTAGCCTCTTGCTCCTAAAACTCTTCTGTGCGTATCCTCTATTACCCACCCACCATACTGAAGAGATCAGCTTACGTGTTGTCCTCTAGGATGGTAAGATTTAGGAGGGCAAGGACTATGTCTTCCTCATCTTTCTATTCCTAGGCATAATGTAGAAACTCAATACTGAAATCTAAAAGGGAGATATTCTGCCTGGTAAGATGGTGGAGATTAGGAGAGGTTAGAGCATTGTCATCTCTCTCCTCCTCATCTCTAACACACAATTCCATTCATGCTTTTAGGTTGATTAATTTCTGGAGGTATGTGGGAGTGGAGATGGGGGAATAGGAAGTTTGGGCCCACTTAGTGGATTTTGCAACTGGCTATCCAGGACCTCAGACAGGTCCAGGAAACCAAGTCTGTTTTCAAATAAAGGTGGACAATGGCTCAGAGGTAGTGTGGAAGGAGGTGCTGTAGTGGTTGTAGCCTCTTCCCCTGACTCTCTTTGGGTGAAAGAAGCAAGATCTTCACCCTGACCCAGAGACCAGGAGCCCAATGTGCATGTGCAGGGAGCTGTTGAGGAGTTCTTCAGGTCTGAGGTCAGGTCTGATGGGTTCTTCAAACTAGAGGATCCAGATACACGGATAGTCTTTAGATGTCTGGTTTTGAGACCACATTCCTATGGGGTTAGGTGTGGAGCTTCCCTGGACTTGGTTCATCCATAAATGGGAGGAAATGGGGAGAGAGTTTGTATCTTTTTTCACTGCCTCCCAGCAGTCTCTCCAGGTATGTAGAGAAACCTGGGCTCTATTCCAGCATGCAGGTTGGGAATTCCACCATTCAATCTGCAAGGAGAAAAGCCATCCTCCTGTCTTCTTCCTACTTACTCTCACTTCCAGGTAATTCTAAATATCCTAGCCTCTATCATCTCTTGCAAGGGGAGAGGCAGCTGGGGGCGGGAGAGTGAAGACTGGGGTGGGCATCTAGCCCTCAGGCCTCTTAGCATTTCTAAGGCAAACAGGAAAGGCTCCAGTTTCCTGTCACTGGTGATGTGGACTAACTTAGGTGATTATCTTTTTTCCAGGTAGGTAAAGAGTATTCAAGGCTTAGTATGAGGGCCAGAGCTAGGAGTCGCAGCCTGATAGACTAAAGCATAAGTATCAAGGAGCAGTGAAAAACAGAGCTGGACTGGGGCTGAGGATACCTGGGTTTGTCTCTGCTCTGCCATTAAGTAGCTATGCGAACGTGGGGGCCATCTTTCCACTTTGGGACTCAGTTTCCTCCTCCGTAAAATGAGGAGACCTGAATTAGATATCCAAGGTTTCTGCCACCTCTCATTTTCTCTATCTCTGGATCTTGGAATGGGGCACAAGACACAGAAACAGAGTTGGAATGGGACAGACACATCCATGAGAAGACAAAGAGGGCAGACAGACAGGCGGGGGCGGGAGGGAGGGAAGCGGGAACTGGGAGGGAGGTTGGAATAGATTGCGGGACTGGTCCTAGGATGGAGGGAACCCAGAGCTACCTCGAAAGGAAGTGATCCCTCAAGGAGCATGGTATTGGCCCACCTGACTTTCACAGGGAGTGACGACGGGATTAGGGGGTCGCCCGCTCAGGCTCTCAAAACGGACCCCGCCCCCTTTCCTGCAAATCGATGCTTTCCTCCCCATAATGCACAGCAGCCACTGCCCACCCGCGCACTGCAACCGAACTCTACCTAACTCCACCTCTCCAACCGCCCAGCACGATTTCTCATTTTTTACTGGCTTTCATAACTGTCACTCAGAGAGTTCTCGCATCTGTTGGTTGTTCCCTGTCTACCCTTTGCTTTCCTTGCAATCTCGCCTCTTCAGGCACTACCCGCCTCCCGAAGCCAACTTCCTGTCTTCGATTGGATAGCTGGAATGCCACTTTTCACGATGCAAAGCTATGATTGGCTCTGCATGCAGGGCTCGCGCAGTTACCAGGCAGCGGGCTAGACTGAGGCTAGTTACCACGTCAGTGAGCTGACAGGGAAAGTAGCCGGCTCCACCGCCCGTTCCGGCCGACTCCTCTCGGCCGACTGTGTCGTCCTTGACTTCGGCCTCAACTTCCAGGAAACAAGCTCCTTCCCTTCTCCCATCTGCCACCAGAGCCGGGAGAGCCTCTCGGAGACGCCTTCGGGGCCCCGGCCGGACATGAGCAGCGGCTGCCGGTCCTGGGACTAGGCCCCGCCATTTTGGATCCGCTGACAGGTCAGCCAAGTCTCTTAGAGTTCCAGTGTCGTGAGGCCGCCCTGACATCGCAATGGGGAATAAGGGGAGGAGGGCCCTTAAGTTGGACGAGCCGGGATGGGTTAAGCACGCAGGGGCACGAATAAGACGGGGGAGAGATTGTTGTGGGAGGAAACTGGGAGGCGTGCACGGGGCAAAGGTCAGGCCCCTACCGCAGGAGGGGGACGACTTCACCTCTGACTTCTGATTCCTTGCGGGTGCCCGAATCCTTCTTCCTGACTTCCCAGGCTTATTCTAGCCTGCAGCTCCTCTGTTCCGGAGCTTTCTGCATCCTAAAGAGCCCAGTCCTCAAAATCTGAAAGCAAATCTAAAGACTGTTCAGGGTTGATTTTTAGACCTTAGATGTGAGACTCTCTCCAGATTCCGTACAGCATCCACTTCCGTGTGATTGCCTCATTAATGCAACTGAACTGCTTCGTTAATACTGGATGATGAACCTAGACTCAGGCAGTGAGAAGAGGTGTGGGGACCTGGGCTCTGAGAAGGCTGTCCTCTTACAGGGCAGTTCAACTGCCAGTCTGGGTCTGTATGTCAACGCTGGATTTATCTTTTGAGCCTGAGAAGATATTCTCTTCCGGTGTATGTTCTCCTTGACATCTTTCCCCCAGGTCTTCTCTTCACTTGGCCTAAGAAGCTGAGGTTCAGTCGCAAGGAAGCCACTTTATTAATGACATATTTGGCTGACAGCAGAGAGGGATTTGAATACTGGTGAAGTTTGGTACTGTTGCCTTATTATTTTGAGTGGATAAAAAGAGTCATGAGAGATGTTCAGCCAATTTAAAAGTGATAGAGTTAGGGCAGCAGAGTGAATGATGGAACGTAACTCCAAAGAGTGTAGTTTATGGCACTGCAATGACGTTTGATAAACTGTATACCTGTATTGTAAAGCTATAAAAGTCTCCCAAGGGTAAAGAGTGCCTTTAGAAATGAAGGATAGTATAGATAGTGTTTTTAAATGCACAACTTAGAAATTTATATTCCTTTAATTCAGGTACACAAGGCACTGCTCTGGGCCCTGAGGAGGATACAAAAGGAAAGGTCTGTTTTGAGATTGCTCAGTTTATGTACTTCTTAA